CAGCTTGATGCTTCCTGCTTCTGTAGCGGTGAGTGGTGAGCCTTTGAGAGAACATGTGTATGTATTTCTTTAATATATATGAAACTGTCCTTTTCACTCCATGTCACCAAGTGATATTTCGTATGTGTGGTTATACTAATAGTAAGGAGCCTTGTAAGTCTTTTGACCATTCATGAACAATAATAAATAGGTACTGCTGGCATGATAAAAATATAAAAAATAAATAAATCTGACAAATACCACAAACATCGCAAAATACAGGAAAATAAATATTTTCATTAGCGCTGTACTTTTGTAATACATACATTTTTCCTACATTGCTTTAACGGCACACTTTCTGATATCACCTCTTCGTATCAGAATGACTTAAAAACATCTTCCTATGGAGATAAAAAAATAATTTTACTCTAGGATGACTGATCAAAATGGTTTTTCAATTACTGACATATTTTAAGAGTTTCATCGATGGATGAGTTCAATTACAATTCATTTTGGAAACGTCATGCATGTAAGTTTTAGAACTGTCAAATTTTGGAAAACTTTTTCGAGTTCTTTTTTCACATGGGTTTGGAATTTATAGCGTTTCAATTTTTTTTCAGTGACTAGTAACATTTTAGTAACATACATGCTCTCTTTTAATTATGTCCATTCACCAGTTTTTATTAACGTTCTTGTCATACAGCATATCATAGTGTTAATATGGTCTGCATCAATATATTGTGTCAAATCAGTAGTAAATCTAAATGTTTTTACAGTGTATTTATATGATGTACTCCTCTTCATTCATTGGGTTATCAAATAATACAAGAGCCTAGTGATTATTTCTATTCAAAATCTAACTCATGAATTACTACGTTTGGTACGATCTGAGAAAGTATCCTGTTACAATTAGCTTTTAACTCGGGATAACTTCTGATGTTCCATCATCTTCATCACACAGACCCCCAGCAGCAAGACTGAACAAAGATGCTCACCCTGTACATTCAAGCTTGAACCTCACCCTTAACAGCTCAGCCTGTAGTGCACTAAGAAATTACTTTTTAATCCCATAATTCTCTTGTGAAAGGAACTACAACACATTTTGGGGTGTTAAAATCATAGTTGATATAAATTTTTATGGCATACTGTGACTTTTCAAACAGTCTGGGTGTTTTTCATTCCATTACCACACCAGGTCTCCTTTAAGTGGTGTGCAGTCACAGCTAGAAACCCCCGTTGGGACACCACTGACGGGGACACAAGGAAAACCCAGACCATGAACACGTTACACTGCGGGTAGCTCGAGGTGGGGGGAAGAAGGCTTGGTGGGAAGTGGCATCTGAATCAGGCCTCGGGAGAGGAACAGAAATTCATCTGCCATTACCCAAGGCACTCTCTCTTCTCCTCCCTCCACAACCAAGTTAAACTACGTCCCGTGACTCTTACCTTCTTAGTAAAAAAAAAACATTAATATTTACTGAGTATTATTTGCCAAGAACACTGCTCAACACTCTGCATACGTTACTTACATTACACAACAACCGCCCCGTTCGGTCAGGCAGTATTCACTCCCCCTTGTACTGAGCAAACTGAGAACATTGATAATAAATAACTTGCGCGACAGCACTCAGCCAGGAAGTTAGGTGTCCAGGATCCTGATCTGTGCAGTGGTTGCAACATGTACACCCAACCCCTCTGCTACTCAACCCCCTGCACCTCTGCTGCCCCACACTTCCTTGCTGGTGACACCCTTCCTCCTCAGAAGGGCCCTTGGCTCATTCCCCGTGAGTCCGGCAACCCTGGGCAGAACCCATCAGCCCACCAGTTTCCAGGGAACCGAAGTCCAAAGATCATCTCGGACATCATCTTTCTGGTGGTCCTGCTGTAACCTTCTCACAGGGCCCGTGAGCAGCACGCGGTGGCACAGATGTGGTATTTCCCAAGTCCCCGTTGCCGACTGTGCACAGAGCGTGCGCGCACCGGCACAGCACCTGGCACCCAGCACCTTAAACGTTTGTAAACATCGGCTGGAATTCTGGTATACTTCCCCCACAACGGGATGTGCAGGGAGTCAAAGGGACAGATGACAAGTACCTGGCACACGAAGGAGACAAAACACTTGCTTCCTCTAACCTGGGCCTTGAAAGAGGAGAAAGGGTAAGCGTAGCCCAGGTGTGTGCAATGGGGAAGAGGGGTCAGGGAAGGTGGCACCCCAGCCAAACAGCCAACACACCTGGGGCTGCAGGAGCGCCTGCCATCGAGACCCAACACCAGACTAAGGATGGTGGGCGCAGCACAGCATTCTGTATACCAAAATTTCAACAGAAGATCAGATAAAAAATCACACATCACATGGACTGAGACAGAAAGGGGAGAGAAATGCTAAATGCCTGAAGTAAAAATGCCTGAAGTAAAAAGGGAACTCATTCATCAAAAATTTCTATTTTGGAAGAGCTACCATTCAGTTTTACAAACTATAAATGATTTAAAAGAGAGTTTAAGGTCCATATCCAATAGTCTAGTGATTTATAAAACATGCCTAAATTGGCTTTTAGCAACTAGAAGGTTTGAAAATTAAACATTTACAGGAAAAATAATTTCATTATCAAACCGTAAGATTTCATAAATTGCCAAAACAACAAACTCAGGTGAAAATATCCAAAATGACCCCTGTATATAAGGCATGGCCCAGACACCTCTATCCTGCTGCTCCCCTGTCCCTATTCCTCTCCATCCACCCTGAGATGCAGGCCCGGGAACCCCCTGCCCTCTCTTCTCCTTCCTGGTTCCGGGGAAGCAGGCCCAACTTTACCCAGAGTTACCATTCTGCAGAGGCAAAGCCCTGGTAAAGGCCCAGTGTGCTCCAAAAGGTGGGGAGGGGTCCACAAGTCCCCTCCCACTGCCGGTAGCAGCACAGACTGCCCCGCGGAGACGTGACGTGAGCCTGATGCCACGTGAGAGGCCAGACCCATCTTACCTTGCTTTGCGATCCATTTCCGACAAGGCAGGAAGGTTGCTTTTTTTTTTTTTCCATCAGGGTAGAAATTCTATGCTCAAAATTCATTTTCCCTCCTAACTCTGTAGTTATTGCTCTATTACTTGTAGCAGCCGGTCAGGCAATTTCATTCTCGTTCCTTTAAAATGATCACTAAGCAGGATCCACCCAGCTGTGGACCTGGCTTTCACTCATCCAGACACTCAGGTGTCTCTGAACCTGTGCACGTTTCTGCCAATGTTTCCTGCCTCAGTTTTAACCCTGTGGATGGACACGTAGCTGCTGCAGTCCTTAGTCAATCCTCTGTCCGCATCTCCTGACCGTTCTGTTTCCACCTTGGTCTTTTTGCTACACGTGCAGGGAGTTCTTTACCTTTGAGGTTACTAATTTTTTTTTTTTTTTTTTGCATTATCCCATCATTCAATCCGTCCACCGAATGACTTGGCGCAACAATTTTTTAATCAAAAATCATTTTGGGGGCTTCCCTGGTGGCACAGTGGTTAAGAATCCGCCTGCCAATGCAGGCAGGGGACACAGGTTCGAGCCCTGGTACGGGAAGATCCCACATGCCGCGGAGCAACTAAGCCCATGTGCCACAACTACTGAGCCTGCGCTCTAGAACCCGTGAGGCACGACTACTGAGCCTGCGTGCTGCAACTACTGAAGCCCACACACCTAGAGCCCGTGCTCCGCAACAAGGGAAGCCACTGCAATGAGAAGCCCGCGCACCACAGCAAAGAGTAGCCCCCGCTCACCACAGCAAAGAGTAGCCCCCACTCACCACAACTAGAGAAAGCCCGTGCGCAGCAACAAAGACCCAACGCAGCCAAAGATAATTAATTTTAAAAGATCATTTTGACTGCACCTTTTTCATAGCGGCCTTTTGTAGGTACAAACGTTCTCAAATCTCAAGTAGTTCAATTAGGTTTTTACTTTAAAATTACTTTGTTCTCTGAATCGTTTCCCCCAAGAAAAGCCATTCTGCTGGTTCATCTCAGCCTTTGTCACATGCTGTTCACTTTCCTCCTCCGTCCAGCGTGGATGACCAGGAGAGTGGCTGCCCTCATTTCCTCTGCACTTGTTTCCACCAAATACGCCCCTTCGTACAATGGGGGCTGGCAGTGTAGACCATGTCAGGAGGGCGGCGTGGGTTAGCGTGCAAGGGCAGAGACCAGGTGGGGTCCCAGGCAGCCCGAGGCCGAGTCCAGGAGGGTCTGCACCTGGGCCGTGGGGCGTGCTCTTCCCCAGGTGAGCGCTGCCCTCCAGCACATCCAACGGGGCCGTCAGTGCACAACCTCGAACCCCGCTGCTGCCCTGTGCCAGTGTCCACGCTGAGCCGCAGACAGGAGGCCTGCCCACGTCCGTCAGGAGCAATGCTCCGACCAGCCTGGGGGGGGCGGGGCAGCCAGGCCCGCTGTCCCTGAGCCACTCCTCAGACTTGAAGCGGGGGCCTCCCTGGGTTCAGGGTAAGGATGGCTGTCCCCCTGAAAGCGTCCTCGGGCGGCAGCTGCCCAGCCCCAGCCTGTGCTTCCCAGACCCCTGGATCTGTGCATGTGGTCGCCTTGGATCCTCCCCGGGCACGTACTGGGGCTGACTTCCGCTCCAGGCACCAGGGATACACACTGCTTACAAAGTCCCTGCTCCAACGGAGCTTACGGATGATAACCCAGCGCATCTCAGACAGCAATGAGAGATGAAGAAAATACACAGGGCAAACGTGACAGTGACGGGAGGGAAAACGGGCACCCCCTTCCGGCTGGAGCTTCTCTGAGAACGAGACGGAAACAAGCCAGCCCGGCAGGATTCTGCGGGAAGGACGATCCAGACAAGGAGAGGCAGATACACCCCAGACAGGACCCACCTTGGCAGCTCGCAGGTGCTGTGCGGCGCTGGAGCGAGGAAAGAGGGGCGAGGGGCAGAGGCAGGCGGCGGCCATCGGGGCAGGACCAAGGTCAGCACAACTGGGGCCTGGTTACTGTCACTATGAAATACAAAGGGCGTGAGTTTTCACTCACTTTAGTCATCATCAATAAAACGAGACTTTTATTGACATCTGACACACAAAGAAACATTTGAAAAACTCCACCGTACAATACAGGTTTTACCATAAAAATGTTATTTCCTGGGTTAATGTTTCAATATGTACTTCTCAACAAAAAGAAAATGCTAATCACACTCAAAACCTTCTATCTAATCAAGGGACACATGTGGAAAGAGAGCTTTTTCACAGCTGAATTTTAAGCTATTAAAACTATCGGATCAGATGTATGTACTGCTGATGACAAAGCGAGTCTCATAGTTGGCATTTTCTCCCCATCCTCCCAGATACCATAAAAAGATCAGATTCTGTGGGTAACAGAAAAATGACAGATTTCAGATGCTACTATTCAAAAGTTTTCTGCAAAATTAAAGCGCCACACCCCGATGATCATTCCATTGAAACAATTTCAAATCATTGCACAGAAACCTAGCTCCTATCGAATATCAAAAATAAATCACACATTTGACACAGATTCCAGAGGGCCAGAACAGAACCACAATCTTTATAGAAAATGACTTTTTACAGAGATGACATCCAAGGAAATACATTTTACAGTGAGCACACTGGGGGACTTTTAGCAACAGACTACATCTTCACGCAGCGCTATTTCCTCACGTGAAACAAAAAGCCTGACCGAGACTGAGATCACGGCCCACAGACTGAGGGCAGCTTGGTGGAGCGGCTCCCAGGCTGCCCTGGCCCACATTCTGTCCTGCTTCCTCTTGGTGTCCATGGCTCAGCTTCACTTAAATGGTATAAAATCAGATTCTAATGTCACATAACCTTGATCCATACATGATCACTTCCCTTTACATTTCGGAGCCTAGTAAATATTTCTGAAGTGTTTAGGCTAGTATGCAATGAAAAACTAACATTATACAAACCACAAAGTCTGTTCACTTCTTGAGATCAGTGAATTAGGTCTAATTCGCTCCTTTTATTAATAAAGGTGACAATAAAAAGCTTTAATTTAACTGAAATTAAAAAGTACAAAATTCAACACAGTCACAGCTTTACTTACATCCACATGAACACGCATGCATCACTTCCAACTGTGCTTGTTGATACTTCAGGATCAGTAATGTCTGCAACCTACATAAACAGCAGCACAATGGGTAGAATGTAAACGAGACTGCCTGAAATGCTGTCATTGGCTCAACTTTTAAGGGTTACAATGAAACTATGTACAGTGTATAAAGCTTGTCAAACTGGATATGGTCTTAGGCCATTACTACTGTTACAGTCCAATTTGGATTTTAATATAACCAACTTATAGATCTGAAATAAAAGCACTGCTTAATGGTTTCAGATGCATTTTGGTATTTAATATGTTTCAAGGCATCTTTACAAATAATAAATTATGACTATGACAAGGAGAACCTGTGAATAAAGCTTCTTACATGGACATAGCGCGGCGACTGCAAGTGCTGTCAGAGACAATTCCATGAATCAAAAGTCATAACCACATCTGGATTTTAATCTTTAGAACAAGCAAAACTAAGTAGCACACACGAGTAGTTTAATATAACCTTAATGGTCTAACAAACCTTCCAAATGGAAGGAAATATAAAATAAAGTCAACCTATCAAATGTAACTTACAGTGATGGGCTTCAGGACTGCAGAAATCCCAGGCCACCTGCCAACTACCTGCAGAACCACCTGCTGCCGAAGTGCCTGACCCCAGGCGGCTGCCCCACAGGTGCGCACGCGGAGCTTTGGGAACCTACGGCTTTACTGGCGCCTTCGTTATGCACTTAATACTGGCATTTCACAGACTCGCTCCTTGTAGTGAATTTGAGCGTAATCAACTTCCATAGAGAAGCACGTAGCTAAACCAAATTAAGAATATTGAATCTTCCACGCATGGTCTCAAATAGGAGTATTTTGTTTAGTATAATGAAAAGTTAATTTTTTTTTTTTTTTTTGCGGTACGCGGGCCTCTCACTGTTGTGGCCTCTCCTGTTGCAGAGCACAGGCTCCGGAAGCGCAGGTGCAGCAGCCATGGCTCACGGGCCCAGCCGCTCCGCGGCACGTGGGATCTTCCCGGACCGGGGCACGAACCCGTGTCCCCTGCATCGGCAGGTGGACTCCCAACCACTGCGCCACAAGGGAAGCCCAAAAGTTAATTTTTTTTAATATCTGTAATCTTTTTGGAACACAGGCACCAACAGGGAGCAGACATTCCAGCAAAGAGAGATTGTCCAGGATAAAAAAAAAAGAACTGATCAGAGTCCTTTGTCCCTTTGCCGATTAGAATACTTCCTTCTTTCATCGCCTAGGCAACATCTTCCAGATAATCCGCAACGTCACTGAGCTGGGACACAGTCAGGTCCTGTGTCAGGTCATCAAGCTTCGTTGTTCAAAAGAAAGAAAAGAACTAGTGTCAGGATGCAAGCAGAGTCTTAAATAATGTTTAACATCTACGCTGTAGCTTAAGCGCCGTCTTATGTTCTACAAACTGCTGCACAGGCAGAAGTCCTCGCCCTCACTTTCTTCTTCCTTTTCTGAGATTTTTTTGAAAGCTGAGCTAACCGTTGAACTCTACATGAACAAGAAGACTGGCTGTTAAAATAACCCATCTGTAGCTCTTTTCATAACTTTAAAGCAACATTTTCAGGCCTCTTTAGGATGACATAAGGTAAAAAGAGAAAGACAAATTATTACAAACTTATACCGTCTCAAGAATTAGAGAAGGCACGTTATATATTATCACTTAACCTTCAGAACAAGCCTGTGAGGGAGGCATTGACACCTCCTCTCACGAATAAAGAAACCGAGGATCAAAGGTTGCAGCTCGCCTGAGAAAGCACATGCATGAAAGAATAGGAACGCGGGCCCAGATTCATATAAAACGCTGCTTCTCTCCAAGGCCTTCTCCCTGCATGACAGTCCCTGACAGTCACGAGCACTTGGAGAGTCTCTCCTCATTCTGGAAAGCAAGGTTCACCTCCAGGCTGTAGCGACCTACAACCTCAAAGGCAGACTCACCCCCAGTTTACCGTGGGCACTGATATCTGATCCTGAGATGCTACCTTACATCGCAGATCTATCATACACCTAAGTATCTGCTCTCTGCCCAAGAAAAGGTCAAATGTGATCTCCAAAACGCACTCCTAATTTTACACCCTGACTCCCCGTTTCTGCTGTCTTGTCTCCCTGCCTGCTCAGAACAGTCCACACCCCAGTCTCTGCTTCAGCTCCTGCATTCACAGGGATCTTATATACACACAAACCTTCGATACTGACGTCTCTTAACAGGACCACCTACCTACAGTGTCTACACCCTGAGGTGGTCGATTCTGACTCTCATCCTGACCCACCATGGCCCAGTTACACCCACAGCAATTGAAGCCCCAGTAATAACACGCCAGCATTTCACAAGCACTCAGTTAACAAAGCAGGCGACAACTGAAAACAATTTTACACATTCATTACAGACATTCTTTTTAGATTTGGACCAGGAAACTCCGTCATAAACTTTACGGAACTTTCAACTGCTTTTCTCCTAGTTAGTATAATTTTTATTTTATTGGCGTATAATTGCTTCACAACGTTGTGTTAGTTTCTGCCTCACAGCAAAGTGAATCAGCCCTACGCGTACACACACCCCTCCCCCTTAGACCTCCCTCCCCACCCCCACCCCACCCAGCTAGGCCATCGCAGAACACCGAGCTGAGCTCCCTGTGCTACACAGCAGGTTCCCACTAGCTATCTAGTTTACACGTGCTAGTGTATTTACGTCAAACCTAATCTCCCAATTCATCCCACCCTCCCCCCTTCCCCTCCTGTGTCCCACATCTGTTCTCTAAGTCTGCCTTTCTATTCCTGCCCTGCAAAAAGTATAAAGTTTTGAAGCTTTACAGTAACTCAAGGCAACAGGCACAGATAGCACTCCATGGGAGAAGCACAACATCATACTTTATCACTGGTATTGACGTCATCTATTTCCACAGAGAGGTCTTCCTCGATCTCTTCACCAATACTTAGCTCACTTTTTTCTGAGCGATGGCTGGTACTAATTTCAGGGGGGGAAAAAAAAGAAAAATAAGAACTTTGAGTATAAACATTTAGAGAGAGTAACTAGCATTCTTCAATCTTTCATGTAATTATTTTAATTCTTTAAATAAAATAGAATCAACTATTAACACATCATTAATTCCATACATCTCATCTCACTTGAGCCTTAAAATAACTCAGCAAGGGCACAGGGATAGTCCAGTCCATTTACCAGATGAGAACACTAAGCTTCATACTAGTGACTATGGTCACAATGGCATGAAAGAAGCAAACGCAGATTTTAAAAATTTCATCTCTCAAAAAACTGTATGTTAGGAAGTAAACACAAATTCTAAATTGGGGGAAAAAACTATCAGTTACATAAAATTCTCAAACTCTGATTTAAAATTTCTAATCATATCTACAACAAATATTACTTCCAAATTAATTATTAGCTAAGTCATAGGTTATATTTTCTTTACATATATAAAAAAATTACCTAAAACAAAATATTAAGAAATGTCACATGAATCAGAAAAACCATTTGAGGGGGCAATTTGTTTAAGCCGAATGTAGACAATTCCCCCCACTGAGATCAGAAAGGGGAGAACGAAAGCACTGACAACCCAGTGGCCCAACTGCTTCTGCTGGCTTCTGAGTTGATCCTTCAATGTTACTTCCTTTTCTTATTCTTATCAAGTTCCCTGCACATAATACAGATGTTCTTATTCTAATGTAAAATCAAAAACACGCTTCAAAGTCCAATGTATAATTCTGGATTAACTATCTTTCATTCACCTTCAATCAATATGAACAAGAGAATCAAAGACTAAAATAAGCACCAACGTAATTCTGTCATACTTTCCTGTTCAGAAACTGTTTACAATTTATGTATTTCTTGTCCAACCATTTTTCTTACCTGTTAAAATCATCAGCATAGTCATCTTCCTCTCCAGTCCCTGGTAAGTTTAAGAAAAAATATATATGTTATATTTATATAAACACACCTCACAATTTATCTACAATTAGACACACATTTCCTTCAAAAACTACACTACTGAATTATATGGCATCATTAAAAAGAACAGCTGGGCTGCAGTTTGGATTTGGGGGAAACTAACCACCCACTCCCCCACCTTCCTCCGGCTTCTGTAGCCAATTCAAGGACAGAACAGTCACTGAAGAGTGGGCTGGAGCCTCACATTAGCCTCTGACTTCCTGGTCACACATACAAGCCTGTCCTGCAGGCCAAATCCGCCCACAACCTGTTTTTCTACGGCCTGCAAGTTGGGAATGGCTTTTACATTTTCCAATGATTGTAAAAATACAAAGAACACTCGGAGACCATGTGTGGCCCGCCAAGCCTAAAATGCCCATTCTGCCCTTGACGGAAAGAGCTTGCCGACTCGTGCTCTACACGTGTGAAGCACCTTCTGTGAGCAGCAGTGCCTTTGACTAATATTTTTGTCTCCCAAACTAAACTGTGCTCTAAAGCCTTATTCCAGAAGCGTCAAGGTTCTGAAGGCGGTACGGTGCCCACAAGTGGCCCAGGGCACTCGGAGGCTTCTCCTGCTGCAGCAGTACCGCTCCCGCTGCTGCTCCAGGCCACAGGACGGGGCACAACACCCCAGAGTTCCTGTTACACGTCCATCCCCATCAGACTGACTCCCTGGGGCCCGGACCACGTTCCGCCAGCCCCAGGGAAGCGCCTCTGCCTCGGCACGCACTATGCTCGCGGTCCGAACGGCAGGCTCTCCCCTCTGCCTGCCCCAGCAGGTCTCGCAGAGCAGTCACTTCCTGGGAGAGGCTCCCCCATCGCCAAGGCTAGGCTAAGTCAAACTACTCCCCGCTTCCGTAAGGCTGCGGCCTGACTCTTCTAACACTCAAAGTACCCGTAAGGCACCTGTTTAACACCCATCTTCCTGCTAGGTTTAAACCCCACGAGGACAGAATCCGCTGTGGTTACTACTCCCTCCACCCCTGGCCGACACAGTAACCCTGGATACATAAAAACCGTCCAACCATCTGTGCGTGAGGTGCTCACGGTAGGCTGACCGACACTTCATTTAAGATTTTATTCTAAAAAATAATCGCCTTAGGGCCTCCCTGGTGGCGCAGTGGTTGAGGGTCCACCTGCCGATGCAGGGGACACGGGTTCGTGCCCCAGTCCGGGAGGATCCCACGTGTGGCGGAGCGGCTGGGCCCGTGAGCCATGGCCGCTGAGCCTGCGCATCCGGAGCCTGTGCGCCGCGACGGGAGAGGCCACAACAGTGAGAGGCCCGTGTACCGCAAAAAATAATAATAATAATCTCCTTAAAGCAGTCCATACTGCGACTGGAAATCTACTGACCTAAACCAAGTGATCCGATTTTATCATTGACCAATTTAAGATCTTTCAGAATTGTGTTTCCCCTTTTACCTGTGAACAGGAAAAAATAGTCACATTAAATTGACTTTTAGAATATAATAGTCTCTAAACCATGTCAACTTTTTTTTGCAGTACAGGGTTTGTTGATACATCATAACCAAAAACTAAGAAGAAAATTACAAACTGTGATTAATTACACTGCATTATGCATTATTATGCATTACACAATAGAATACGCTTACACTATGTATCACACAGCCCTTTTTTAACCACACTATTACATATCCTTTTTGTAGCCATACTACTTTTTATTGGAACCTGACCATCAAAATCATTTTCTACCCAACTATCAGATATCAGCCTTCTATAAGAAGCCCTACTGGGTATGAATTCATGGACTACAGTTAATTATTCTCATCAGTTTTATTTTTCCTTTGAACATCTAAATTTTGCTTCAATTTAATCGCTATTTCATTTACCAAACTTATCTCCTCATTGGTTTTTATTTCTTCAGTGCCCAGTTCTCAAGGCCCTCTCTAAATCATTATTTCCTAGTCAGTGTTAAGAGTGACATGATCGTGACACTCTGGATTCCTTCACTGAAGGTGACAATACCATGGGAAAGGAGAAGAAGAGGGAAACTGGGCCGAATTAACAGACTCATGGCTAGTTTACTTTATGTGCCCCAAGAAATCCTACTACAGTGCTATCACGTAACACAAAATGGTTAGTAAGTACTACAAGATTATGCAAAACCCCACAGCAATTTCCTAATAAAGATCTACTCAAAGAGGCACATTTATACTCTAAACACTCTGCCAATTAAATCCTATATTTACTATGATATAGTGTACAAAGCTCATCTGCATGATTACATGTTTAAGGCTTTGCTTTTGAAATCCTTGGTCTTGTCACCATCTGTGTGCAGTAGGAGAGCCATTCCACGTCTAGCTAACAATCCCTACCTCTGCTGCATATAAAAAATACATCTGATCCAAATCCCTAAAGGGAGAATAGCATTTTAACATTCTTACGATGATTACTGTGCTATCTACGGAATAAAGTTTTAAACAAAAAAAAAAGTTTTAAAAATTAATTGTAAGTAAATCCTACATAAGTCAATTTAAATGTCCAAAAAAGAGATGGCTTAAAAATTATAATGTCTATTTATTATAGAAGACGGTTAAAAAGTCAATTTCCTAAAAACATTTCCATGGCATAGGAAAAGCAGAATACAAAACAATATAGAGAATATGACCATGCTCAAAAGAAATTTTAAAAATAAAATATTAACAGAAAATATCACTGAGTAGTAAAATTATGGGCTATTTTTATGATTTTACATATATTTTCCTGAAAAAATAAACAATGATCAAACACTACTTAATTAATTAGAGAAAAAAATATCATCAGCATTCAAAGTCCACGTCTTCAGTCAGCAAACCTAGGAACTTCCAGACACTCACTTTCAGAGTCTTTCAATGAGGGAGCTCCAGTAAGGGAGCTGAGTCCACTTTTTAAGGGGGGGGCGTCCGAGAGCGATGCAAGGCTTCCTACTTGCTTACTAGGTTCACTTCTCCTAGCAAGAAACAAGTGTACAGTTAAATGGGATTCTTACATTCTGCCATTAAAACACAAGCAGCTTGAATATATCTTGTAGGCAACACAGGAGCTGGGCAATAAAGAATATACATTTCACAGATTCAAAATCATGAAGTACACCCGGCAAGGCAAAACAGACTAAGAATCACTGCAGGTTCGCGCAGGAAGTTCCCCCTCTCTAGAACTGCGTGTGATGTCTCACAAATTAAACCGCTCCGCTTCATGGGCTTCACTGTCGGGGATTTTATCGGAAGTCCCTTCCGTGGCCCAGAGATGCAGGCAAGGGACAGCGCAGAAGCTGACGAACACAGCATGACGGCCCAGACGTGCCCCGGAGAGCGGGCCGCAAATGACGCCACCAGCTGACCTCAGCACACAGTCCTGACCGCCAGCCTGCAGCGGACGCGGGGCAGTGCCCAGCAGCCCGCAGGCTCGCCCTCCGGCCCGGCGCCCTCTCACCTCCTCCGGCGCCGGCACGGAGGAGGTGCAGCATTCCAGGAATTCCCCTCTCCCGCTCTTACTTCGTTCATCTTTCCTCTTTAAAACCGGATCATTCTCATCAACACACGTACGTGCTACTGTTCTTCGCAGTTTAACATTTCTAGCCCCATGCCCGCTCTCCAGCCACCGCGCATCCCTCTGCACCCTGTACAGGAAAACTCATCAGGAAATCATTCTGCCACATACAGTCCTCTCGCCTCAGGCTTTCCTGAACCCACGCTAACCCTTTAACACTGCCCCAGGGCCGCCCGCGAGGGGCATCGGGGCTAAGTGCAAAGGGCGACTTTCAGCAGAACTTAACTCAGCTGCTCACTTGGGCCTCCTCCTCCAAGGACGCCTCTCCCTCCGGTTCTCTGGGTCCCCTTCCCGCTGCAGTGCCCCTTCCTTGGTGACCTCTTCCAGTCTCCCGGCTGTGACCTCAGCCAAGACTGATGCCTCCCTAACTGTCACCTCTAGCCCAGACCTCTCCCTGAATGCCCACACCCACACCCGAAAACAGGCTTCACCTGTCCACTGACGACCTTCTTGAACTCGCTGGTCGAGAGTGAGCTCTGGACCGCCGCGCGGCTCACCTGCGCGATCCAGCCTCGCTCCCCCTGCTCTTCACCTCGATCAGTTGGAAAAACTCCTAGTTACTCACCCTGGGAAGAACCCCGGAGCTGCCCTTGATATTGCTTTTCCTCTCGCACACTTACCAGCAAATCCTTTTGGATCCAAACTCAAGATACATCCCCTACCGCCTATTGCTCACCACTTCCGCCATCACCCCTCACCTGGAAAACCCTAAGAGCTTCCCGCCTGGAGACCCAGCGTCCAGGGGGCCGTGGCACTGCGCACGTCGGAGCAGTCACGCTGCTGCTCACAGCCCGGGGCTTCCGGGCCCCTCGGGTTCAAGCCAAGCCCTGCGGTGGCCCCGGCCCCTGGCCCGACTCCACCTCCTGCGAGCTCCTCTGCCGCAGGTCCTCGGACCCGCCGCACCACTCACCTCTGCCTGTGCAGGGCTCCGGCAGCCCAGCTTAACGCCTGGCCTGCTCTCCCCTCCATAAGCTCGCCCTTATGGAGGGTGAGGCCTTCTCCAACAGCTACTGAGAACCGGCCGCCCTCCACACCCACACTCCCGCCCTCCGCCGTTCCGTTCTCTCAGTTCCTGTAACACGGGCTGCATCTGGGCGACACAGCACCTGGGGACTCTTAACTTATTGCTGCTGCCGTCCAGAGTATGAGCTCCGGGAAGCAGAGATTTTGCCTGTTTCATCACTGTTGCACCTGTACCTGAAACGGTACCTGGCATACAGCAGGCACTCAGTACAAACCTACCTGCTGAAATCATTAACGTCTAGGTCCTTCAAAACTTGGAATTGTTTGACAACATAAAAGGCTCTAATGACACAAAATCAGACTTACAAATTCACTAATTACAGAACCATTGGTAGCTCATTATTTCTTAAACATAAAACATTTAGAAATTCTATTTTTAAGCCGCTAGTCTGATAATATAAAAGCACAGGTTACTCACCAACCATAGGTTTTTTCTGGTTTAGGAATGGGATCATCAAAGAAAGAATCTCCTTCCATATCATCTTCATCTGGACAAGGACCAGCTTTGTCTTTGACATCTAGACTTTTGTTGCTTAACAAGGATCCAATTTTTGTTTCATGGGCCAGTAAGTGAAGACTACTTTTGCTCTTTGGTTCTGATGATGAGATACTGGTATCACTCTGACTAGCATCATTGCTGGCCTTCTAGAAAAAGAGAGGGAAAGAGAAAAGGTCTCCTTGGCGAAATAAAACTTTAATAAGACATCTTAAATAATAAAAAAAGTCACGTGAACATACGCAATTCTGTGTATGCACATGCATACACACGTGGGGTCTTGCAACTGCATGAGGTGCAGTGGGACCCCCCGGACCTACCAGTTCATCCCCAGGCTTCAGAGCATAACTAACTTTTGAAGGGGAAAAACGTCAAACATGTTTGTACCATTCCTCTCCTCCCTCCCTAAATGGAAATACCTTTACCTAGCCCATTTATACACAAACTTTCCCATTTCCTCTTACATATATATCACTGCTTCATAAATTACCTTAATATGTTTTCAACTCGCAAATAAAAAGCATTACTAATAAAGGATATAAGGAAGATTAGTTCATCATCATTAGTTCATCACATAAATGAACCAAGCATTAAAACAAAGTGGTCGTCAATAAAACTAGCAGTTTTCCATCCAGTGCCAAATACAGCGGACATCAAGGTGAAAGATGCCGCCTTTACCGTTCACATTTCTAAAGTAAAGTTTTGCTAGTTTTATCACTGGTCTTTAGACTTTCAGAGTAACTCCCCATTCCACACCTCCCTTCAGCGTCCATGGATGCATGTATTGATGTATATGTTTCTATATATCTGAAACCAACATACAAAATTCTCAAGCATTTTTACTCCTGTCCTACTGATCTGGTGATGTTAGCAGAAAATATACTGCACACTGTATTTTCTTGTTTTCAGGTAGCCCTAACCCTCACAACCTAATTTTATTCTATCCTTGGTCAGATTTCTTTTTGTCTTTAGACACTTCTATGTCAACAACATAAAAATAATAACAACAAAACCAAAATATCATGATAGTAATAATAAAAGTAGCTAACATTTATGGAAAGTCTTCAAATGCTTCCCATGTGTTACCTCATTTTAATCCTCAAAATAACCTTATGGTGTGTGGGGCAGGTTCTGTTTTCTCTGCAGAAATGGAAAAGGAGATGTAGAGACACTGCAGTCACTTGTCAAGCCGGGGAGTAAAGGCGTCTGATATCAAAGTCTGATTCCAGAGGTTAGCTCTAAAGGCTTATGCTCTGCTATTAGGTTGAGTCATATGAAACTGTAGTTTTTATGGGTTAAAAATGACAGTTTCCCAAGATTCAGCCTTCACACTACAGAGAGCAGTGCTGCGTCAGATGCCACAGTGTGTGAGATGAGCATCTCCTGAAACATGGAATGTGTGATGTAGTCCACACTCGACTACTAACTATGTAATTTTAAGGAATTTAATGTTCTCAGGCATGAATTTCCTCAAGAATTGAACCACAGTAGTCTTTTCCAAGTCCAATTATTACCAGGAGGTAAGGAAAAAGGGATGGGCAGCTGGGGAAAAGTGGTAATAACGCCGGTTAGAAATTACTCAAGGAGACACTAAGGATGACTGCACTTTCAATCTGTGTATAGACAGAAGGTACTATGCAGTAAGATATACACTTACAGTTTTACACTAATTAGAGGCCATGATTAGTTGACAGAAGGTAAGATACATGCTGTACAATTTTTAGGGCCTTGTATAGAGCTATACATTCCATATGTTATTAATACAGATACATCAATGGTTGTAAAAAGAGATGTCTGGAGAAATAAATACCAAGTTATCACCCTTTTAGACAACATAGGATATTTTCAAAGAAGCAGACACATTTTCAAATTTCCCAATAACTTTCTTGAAGTCTTCCTATTATTATCAATTATAGAGAAGCACCACCCACCTATGTATTTCTTAAGTGTATTCATGCCCGTTATAATTTCTCATTTATAAATATTTTAAAAATTGACTTATATCTTTTCAAAGGAATATGCATTTGGAAATAAATACCCTGCATTCTTGTGCTGTTTAAACACATTTATGATTACAGATACTGAGACAGTGCAAGACTGTCTCCTTCAAAACAGCCGTGAGAAAATTCAAAAGGACACCTGACATGAAACGGACAAATACAAATGTAAAGCGCATTACAGGAAACAATCATTATTCCAACAGAGTCTTTCCTCCCCATGAATTCACAGCAACATAATTTAAGTCCATATAATGAACTATCTGAACTTAATAACCAATACAGATCCATGATTACTTTTGACAGGGTTTAGTCTTGCTATGAAACAAAACACTAGTTTTAGGAAGACAAGTTTCATGGAGTAGCACATTATGATGTTCAACACAATACGTATTTTTTAAAATAATAATTTGTTTTAAGATTATAGTTCTATTTATCTGTGGAGTAAAATTAAACTTTAAAAACACGCAATCTGCTTTGGAAGCGCTGTCAAAATCAGTTTCTAAATCACGTAGGAATGTGTCATCACTTCGTAACTGTGGCTCATTTTTTATCAAAAAGACCATTACCTAACCGGGTTAGTAATGAATTCACTAAACTTAATTCCAAATATTTTTTACTATTAAAAAAAAATCCACACTAAGAGGAGAAGCATTTATCAAAACATTCTGTAGACTGAAACAAAAGTACTGCAAAACTTTAAGAGCAATTTTCCATGGAGGAAGTCCAAAGTTTTTGAGCAACAACAGATCAACTCACGATGCATATACCCTGGGATCTATTTATTTTTTTATTTTTTAGATTTTTAAATGGTAAGTTTAATAATGGAGATACACATGGGAGACACCAAATACAAACTTAAAAAAAAGGAAGCTTTAAAATGTCTTCTTGGAGGTAAAGATGTCTAAGCTGAGTTCTAAAAATAAACAGAACTTTGAAGACAGGAGTTAAGGACAGGGTATTCTAGGCAGTGGATTAGCTAGAGTAAAGGCACAAAACTGAGAAACAACGGATACGCACCAAGAAACACAAAGAGCTCAGAATCGCTAAAGTGTGAAGTTAACGCAAGGCTCAGCAGAATAAAGCAAGACAGGCCCCAGATCACAGAGATGTTTCACGGAGGAGCCATGTTTGCAGATTAGAAAGATCCCGTGACTACGTAAAAAACAAACTTGAAGAGCCAAAACCCTTAAAAGAGGAGAGCAGTTAGGAGGCTGTTTGAGTAAAACTCCAAAAAAAAAGGTACAAGGGATTTAAGGGATTTGTAGAAGCAGCTGGATGCTGTGTGTAAATCCCAACTCTTCTATGTAACTTTACACAAGGCCCTGATCTCCCTATGCTTCCATTTCTTTATCTGTAAAGCTGGCATAATAATGCTGACAGGAATGACACAGTATCATTCCATTTTGCCTATGAGGAAACTGACAGCTAGAATAAGGGTTAATTAGATGGGACAGTTCAGACAAGTACATACAAGTTAAGTTAGCAGGACGTGGTAATGGATTTAATATGGGAACTGCGAGAGGAGTGAGATTTCAGAATGGCTCCCTGTTTCAATTTTGGAGACTATCAACTGATATTGAGAACACAGGAAGAAGAACTGGTCTAGTGAAAATATGGTCTATTTCTTATAACTGAAATTGAAATAGACTGGGATCTGTTTAAAAAACTTTTATCATGGCTTAAGACAAGTCTCATACACAAACTTCAGTTACTTAAGTCTCTATCACCTAGATGTGGACAAATTAAGACTCAGGATAAATCTAAACAGCTAAGATTAAGAATTGTTTAAAATAAAGAAATGCAAGCAAAAAAAAAAAAATTCCTATGACAATGCCTTAGAATTCATTCCCTGGACAACCTCAGAAGCCTTGGAGGTTATTATGGGTTAAACTGCATCCCCCCAAAAGGTAAGTTGAAGTCCTAACACCCAGTACTTCAGAATGTGCAGTCATTTACAAGTAGGGTCACTACAGATGTAACCAGTTAAGGGGAGGGCACAGTGGAGGCGGGCAGGCCCCTAACTCAATACGCCTGGTGTCCCAACAAGAGAGGACAGGCACACACAGGGAGAAAGCCCGGTCAACATGATGGCAGAGACTGGAGCGATGTGTCTGCAAGCCAAGGAGCACCGAGGACTGCTGCGAGCTGCGAGAAGCCGGGAGGGAGGCCGGGAACAGAGTCCCAGCCTCAGAAGGAGGCAATCCCGCAGACACCTTGATCTCAGACTTCCAGCCTCCAGAGCCGTGAGACAGTAAACTTCCGCTGTTTCGAGCTACCAACTTTGTGGTGCTTTGTTACAGCTGCCCGAGGAACTAAGAGGTAATTATAATAAAACATAACAAAGTCTTGTCTTTCCAGATCAGGAGGCCTACTGCACAGCACTACAGCAGTCACTTAAGCCCTTGGATGGACCCCAGGGCTAATAAGCTTTATGGTAAATTACAGCCAAACTGTAAGGAAGTTCTAGTGCATGTTTAATTTTCTACTAGTATACTTACACATTCAAGATTTCAATCATTTCTAGATTAACAGCAAATCAGCATCATAAAGAAGTTTCACAGAGAAATAACTACCAATTTTCCAGTAGCCAAAAACTGAATTATCAGTAGAATGTCTTAAAAACCTGGAAGAAATAATTTTGTTTTTCTAAACTAAAGGCTTAATCTGTACTGTTCATAACAGAGGAACAGCAAAGCCAAAGAAACATCTCCGTTTTGCAAAAGTATTCAAAAATACTTGGGCAATTCTAATTCTCTTCCCCGCCCACACTTCAGCCTGCAGCTCCCCTCCCCGACTCCGCCAAAGACAGTTTGTGACCCATGACTTACTAATGAATTCTTTAGAAAAGTAGTTTTACTACCATTGTATATGTGTGTAAAACACACATATATTTAAAGGTTTAATATACTTATCTAGAAAGTAAAGACTGTGGAATTTGAAAACCACAAAACAGACATACAAGCCCCTCTTTCTAAAAACTCAGTTTTTCTGTACATGCCGTATAAACAATCTGTAATTCCCACAGATGCACATGAGAACCAATGTCTGGCTGTGAAGTCGGCCTGATCACCCTCTGTCCAGCGGCTCTGCTCTCTTACCCTGTGCAGCCAGCTCGCAGGCTCGGCGGACAAGAAGTCTGGGACCTGAAGCAGAAGGCCAGGCACAATTACGGGTTAGGGCCAAGTGCTGGCATCTCGCTCACCCACATGCATCCCTTCATTGAGGGGGTGGTGGGTGTGGGGGGGGTGTGCGCGCGCGTGTGTGTACAGAGTAATACTGTTTTGTTCATCTAGAAAACCCTAAGGTGAGACTATACTTTCGGGGATCATTTCTACAGCTCGAAAACCCAAAGGCAGCCGCAAAAGATGCGGAAACACACGCTCCCAAACGTACACAACACGTGATCCCCATCAATGCCCTAAATCAACATAAAGCTGGGCTTAACCCAGAATTTTGAAAACAAGGAACAAATTTAGAAATGTCATTTATTAAGAACTTGAAGCAAAAAAACACCTCAACACAAATCAGTTTTAAAACACCTAAAAATCGATTATGAAAAGAAAGGATAACCTTCCATGCTACATTTAATGTGATGATTAAAACAGCTTCATGTTAAAAACAAACGAAAACATCAAATACCTTATTTAGTTTTTTCAACTGAATGGTTAAAAACCTTAGTGGAGCCTACCAAAAGTCTGTTGTGATAAATAAAATGCATTTATTTTTTTCAGACAACTAGCACCATGCTTGGTACAACAAAACGGTTCACACCAAAATAGATTATTACGGATGATACTCTGGAAGTGTTAATGCACATTTAAAATGTTTAACTCGTTAAAGAAATGCCCTCCCATCTAATATTTATGCATCTTGTATTCTAACTCTTCTAGCATCCTTTATTGTCCTACAACAATAACAAAAAGAAACGTAACTTTTATTTTTACTCAAATTAAATTAGTTCAAAACCCTTAGATTTTGCTTTGCATATTAACGGGCTTACAATACTAAGTACAAACCAGTTAAACATGTAACTGATTTTTTAAAGTTTATTTCTGATATGAATATAGCTTCTCTGAAAACAGCCAGAAGTCTCTGAATGAGCAGTTAATACTTGTGCCTCCCCGCAGGCAAAAGAAACAGTAAGACACAGACACTTCCTACTGGGCGCCCTGGGCTACCACTCCCAGCTCTGCCCACCCGAAGGTGCCACTACCTACCCTGTGAACGGCTCCCCCTGGAGCCTGGCTGTGGACAACCCCCATGACCAGATGCAGCTCAGGATTTGGATTATTAAGATGTTAAGAAAGTTAGGATACTAAGGGTACTGGGACCCTGCTGCACGCACAGGGCAAAAGGTGAAGGCAGAGGGAGGGAGAGCTAACGGCTCCTCTGCTGGGCTGGAAACAGGCAACGCTGGGTACAACACGGACTTCTTATAGACGCAATTTGGAAACAAGAACAGGGAAATAGAATGGAAAAGGTTTCCAAGTCGCTGAGGAAGTGTTTTGGGCTCAGGAATATAATCGTGAAATAAAAGGGGCCCGACGTGCAGCCTGCAGCTCCAGAATAAGGCCTGTGCAGCCTCTTCAGTCACCCGCAGAGCACGTGAGAGGGAGGCGCAGAGGGGGGACGATGTCTGCGCCCTCGCCCCTGCGTCCAGCACACAAAGCGAAATGTGTCTCCTAGTGGCTTTGGTTCTACGTATCAACTTCTTTCAAACGTTTTAACTTCTTTAAAACTCATGACACCAACAAGATTTTTAAAATTTAATATTACGAAATACACTTTAAAATAGTACAAGAAACTGACTTAAAACATCTATAAAAAAGCATGCTAGTTTATATGCTTAATTATTTTTCTTAAGGTCTGTCTCACGTCTCCAATTTGACCATAAACTGCTTAAGTGAGGACCCATGTTAAATCTGTCTTGCCCCCAGCACTTAACAAAGACTTTCACTATGTAAATGTTCAAACATACTCGAATACATTTAAAAACATCTTCGCATGTAGTAGTGCGTAAAGAATAGTGTGAACAAATATAGTAACAGGAACTTACCATGAAACCACCAGAACTAAAGCCAGCTAACACGGCAAATACAATTGTTCAAAAGCCTTTAATTTTGGAAGCCCTCAACTTAGTGAAAAAATCTACACATAAACCTACAGGCTCAACAAAGACTAGTGATATTCTCACACAATTGAACGTTAAATAACTTGATCTTATTCTAAATAAGTGTAAGAACTATACAGATAATTAATGCTTCTGAGAACTCCAATACTTAAATTTTATAAGCAGCTCATCTACTAGCTTAGTCGAATTCTCAGATCTTTTGGGAAGGAGAAAAAGCAGCCAAGGCGGTGACACAGCGGCGCCCCCGTGAGTCTGCTGTGGGGCAGCGCTCAGAAAGGCTAACACGTGCAGGGGCTGACGAGCTGCTCAACACAAACAGAAGTGTCTTGAAGGAAACCAGGGCTGGCCTTTACTCATCGACTGGAACTTATCCAAAAAGTAGTCTGATGTTCTAGTTACCTCAGATAAAAATCATAACGTTAAGAATACATAGGTGACCATCCATTCAAGAGGAAAGTAAGTATCTTCAACTTGTTTTTGTTGCCAAAAAAACAAGGAATTCTCAAAGCAAAACCGAGAGCAGAGTTTTAAAATACAGCACTATGATTTTCACCTGGATAAAAACTGAAAGTCAGACTACTTTTTCTTTTACGTCACCATGACTTTGGCATGTTCTGATCACAGATAAAAGAAAGTGACATTTCGAAGGAAAACGTAACCCTAGGCCAGTGGGAACTCAGCGCCCGAGGAGGCCCGCGTGAGGCCGGCGGTCGGCCCAGCCCAGGCCGCTCTCCTCCTCGGCCGCCCCGCGTTACCTTGGCACCAGACTTCCGCCTGCTTGGCTTCTTCTTACCTTGTCCTTTATACCTTGGTATCTGAGCATGAGAATAAAATGACATTTTACCACAAAGTATAAATCTTTAAAAATAAACTAATTCATACCAAACCAATACAGATTCCTATTAGAAAATTTCTTAAAAATGGAAAATGTAACTAATATGCTTCATTTTGAAATCCACTGTTTTAGTCTTTTCTTCACACTCTTCCTAAAGTGGTTCAGCTCACGTTTAATTTCTCCCTCCGACAGTCCCAGGGTTCAACGTAGGGACCAGAGCCCCTGCTCAGCTCCTGTGTGTGGGGACTCAGTCCTGTCGCGCTCCGTCCAGCAGCGCGCTAAGAAAGCCAGCCTGCACACCTCAGCAGCTTCCTCTGGGGCCCGCCCTGGCCTCACCTCTCCTTCCCCGGGAGGACACAAAGCGCGCTTCTAAGGGCCTGGCTGGACCCCGTGCTTGGCCCCAACTTCCCGGAACTCTTAGTGCTCTCCAGACCGATGAGGCGCCCTGTAGGCCCTTCGTAGAGCCCCCAAACCACTCAAAGACCTCAGAGAGAGAAGAAAGCGGGCAAGAAAAGGGTGGGGCAAGGGCTGGAATCCCAAATCCAGACCCTGTAGGACGACAGGGGAACTGCGGTCTAACTGCCAAAAGAATGCCTTGTCTTAAAACAGACCCCATCCAGCCCCACTAGAGACGGGCCACGGTGTCCGGAAGTGCTCACTGCGCCCGCGGGCCGATGATGCGACTGACAGCCCAGGCAAGGCTGAAAACCATCGGAAGGTGGCAGAAGCAGGGACCACCTGGAGACACCTTAAAAATTACCATCACTTCTCTGTATTTAGAGCAACATTTCCTGACTTAAAACTTAAGATTCTCTTGATAATTCTCATGATAGAGCTTAAAACTCTTTTTATGTAGAGAGCATACGGATATGTAAAACAGGCATTAACATTTTATCTTGAAGACACACAATATGTGGAAAATTAGTACTGCCAATATGCTTTAGAAAATAATATGCTAAAAAGAGAACTTCCAAATAACTCAATACTATAGGTGTTAATACGTGTTTTGGAATATGGTTAATTTTAATCCCTCTAAAGCCAGATATTTTCACAGAAAGCAAACCTTTCTTTTTACTAAGGCTCTTATATCTGGCACTTAATTTGAAGTGAATTTTAGATTCACTCACGACCTCGTTCTCCCTGTACAGCAGGTTCCAGCCTCCAATGAGCATCACGGGAAAATGCTTCCAAGACCAACCGACCCTATTAGGAAAGGCTAACTAGGCCTCGGGAAAAAGAACAGCTACCAGCAGCGTGAGAGCCTCGTTCCCAAGGCACAGCATTCCTCTGATTTCTAAATCTAAAAAATAAAAAGGAGCAACAAAATCAAAGAACCAGCAATAAACAGCAACAGGAACCATTCACTGGTGTCTACGCCCAGGCATCTGGAAAAGCAAGGAACCTAGCAGCACAATTGCTGCCCTAATTTAAAAAGACACAACTTGTATCTACGAATAACACAGCACCAGGAGCCACCTTGGGGATGTACTCCACGGCACCTCTCCAAACAGAAGTCAGAGGAAGTCACACAACACAATCAGACCCAAGCCCGCCCTGGGGTAAGATGGGCTGGTTCATCCACCGTGCTGTGCTCAGCCAGGCACAGGAAGATGCCTTTCCAGACCACCACCTTTCTATCCATTCCTACTATTACAGAGAGCCTTGATTTTAAATTCAAAGGGTCCACACAATTGTTTTCTCCGTTAATCCAAACCCCCGAAATCAGAAGGCCTTAACTTTAACAGCTCATACAAATATAACCAGAGTGCATAGACCTTTTTATAAATCCTTAAAATATCTCATTAGTATAAAAAAATCATGGTCATTTACAATTCCAAATCTGGGCCCCTGTCTACAGTATTCAACATAACAATTCTATATGTTGGAGCCTGGTATTCTCAAATTACAGCAATTTATAAATGAAAAGTAAATTTCCTTGTTGATTGAAGGACAAAACGCTCAAAGCACCAAATGAATCCAAACATCCTACAATTCTGTTATTTAACAGCATATTTCTTTCTACGATACAATATTCAAAACAATATCAAAGCAAAAGAATTTTCAAAAATTAAAAAAATTTTTTTAATAAATTCAGTATTTTAAAAATGAAAGTGTACACTGAGATCAAAATCTCACGTGGCTCAACATATAAATTGTCGACAAAAAATCTAAGAGCGTGTTTACGTGGCGTTTAAAACCTACTGTCTTGCAATACTGGTCCCAAAGGAGCTTATTAAAGTTTTAGAAGACTCTCTAAATAAATAAATAAATAAATAAACATTAAAATACATACTTCATCAAAGACAAGAAAGCACTTTAACAACAACAAAACTTGTAACAAGAGTAGAGACAGAAAGCAGAGCCCCGTGGAGCCTTAGCCCACTCACCTTACTGGGAGGAGTGTGTGCACTTGCTTTTCCTTCTGGTGACTTTGGTGGAGAATGTACATCAGATAGATCTAGTGCACCCTGAAATATTTCACAGTTTAAAATTAAAACATTTAAAAATAAAGCATGAACATACCAATTATACCTCAACAGAATATCAGCATTTAAAACCACTATACAATATTGGCACTTTTATTTCTTCCTATTAATATAAATATCCTCATTAGATTTTCTTCAAATTTTACCAAAACACAAAGCAAACAGATTTGTGATTCTAATTACCTGCTGAGTATTTCACCCAAACACCTTGAAAAGGCTATACTCAGGCCACATTTAAACATGCCCCCAAGCTTCCTTTCCAGAGTTATTTATTTAACCTTCTCACTTTGCTTTCCCAACTCGCCACACTAACACTGTCCTGTGATTCTCAAAGATCTACTCTTTCTACCTTCCCTTGACTTGCTTCCTTACTTCACTGTCTCAAAAAAAATCAACTAGCAACTCCCATAAAAACAGGAGTACATTCCAAAAGCAGCTCCTGGTGCTGCGTTATTCATAGATATAAGCGACTCCCATAAAAACAGGTAACTGAGTGGGGGGGGGTGGGATGAACTGGGAGATTAGGATTGACATGTACACACTAATATGTATAAAATGGATAACTAATATGAACCTGCTGTCTAAAAGAAATAATAATAAAATTAAATTTTTTAAAAAAAACAGGTAACTATTACAACTATGCGGGATGAGGCACTAAATTACAGGGGCTGCCAAGAGGGAGTGAGTAAAAACAAGAGAAAACGTCCCCGAAGTCAGAGTCAAGAGAACATGGATGGTGGGGCTTCCCTGGTGGTGCAGTGGTTAAGAATCTACCTGCCAATGCAGGGGACACGGGTTCGAGCCCCAGTCCAGGAAGATCCCACATGCTGTGGAGCAACTAAGCCCGTGAGCCACAACTACTGAGCCTGCGCTCTAGAGCCCGCAAGCCACAACTACTGAGCCCGCAAGCCACAACTACTGAAGCCCGTGTGCCTAGAGCCCGTGCTCCGCAACAAAAGAAGCCTCCACAATGAGCAGCCCGCGAACCGCAACAAAGAATATCCCCCACTCGCTGCAAGTAGAGAAAGCCTGCACGCAGCAAAGAAGACCCAACACAGCCAAAAAATAAAATAAATATACTAAAAAAAAAAAAAAAAGAGAGACCATGGATGGTAACATTGCACAGCTAGGTATGGGAGAGGATGTACCATTTCAGGTGCAGAATAGATGAGAAAAGGGGGAAGGCAAGAAAGCAAAAGCCATTTCACAGGTAAGCTCCACCTGGCCTACGCACAAGGTTGCACATTTCAAAAAAAGGCGTAAGGCTAGAAAGCCAGGTTCGTGCCACATCATGCAGGATCTTCAAGTTGAGGAACCTGGAGACTATTCAGTTGCCATTACATAGTCACTGTAACGTTTAAAGAGGGAAGAAATAGAGGAAGAGCTGAATTAATTCAGCAATCATGAATAGAAAAGACTGAAAAGATGTGGGCATGGCAACCTGGTTTTTAAGGGGGGGCTAAAATGCACTTCTGGTACAAGCTTCACTGAGTTCAGTGGGCTAATCCACACCTAGTGTTCTTCTCCAGCATCACAAGTCCAAAGCCCATTACCTTCCACATTCCTACAGACCAACCTGACCTAAAAGCACACATTCAACCAGGTATCTGGAACAGTCACGATGTTGTCTACATCCATGAAACAGTATCTTTATGTAACACTAATGTTTGTAAAGGAAATCAGACCATTAATCTCATTAGCACGATTTCTAAAAAGAAAGGATAAGAAAGACAATGGCTAATCAAAAAAACGAAGTATGAAAATGTTTAGAAACTGCAAAATCAACAGCTTAGAGTTTTAAGCCTAGTTTAAAAAAGCCTTTAAGTTCAAAAAATTGTTAACTAGTCTATAATTCAGCCCTTCTACGTTTAAAAATAGTAGTAAAAGTAACAACCAACAATTGAGTGTTCTCAGCATTTCACATGCACTAACTCACGCGTGGACTAACTCACGCTTGTAAGCCCCACGACGCCTGCAACGAAGGCTACCATCCTATCCACAAAGGAGGACCAAGGCCGGAGGCTAGTTAGTGGAGGAGCTGGGACTGGCTCCACACAGCCCAGCCCCTGAACTCCCTGATCTGAGCATCACTCCCCAGGACAGGTGCGGCAGCAGCCTCAGAGCTACCGCATCTCCAATTATCATCAAAATGTGCATTTATACAATCTCTGAGTATGTCTTCTTTTGTTTTGAAGGAATAACCTCTTTTTATTTAAATCCGACTCATTACGTATGCACTAATCTGCGTGGCCGCACTAGACAGGCAATGACTGGAAAACAGAAACAGGTAACAAAGGGCAGGACTGTACTTACTTCCCCACTGGTTGGCCCTTTTTCTTTCTGTTGACAGCGTCTGATCACTTCTAATAATAAGGGTCCACCCACCGTACCTTCTGCTTCAATAATTCCTAAATCTCGGGCTAAATTCTCTCGACCTTCGAGACCTTGAAACTGGGAAAGAAATAAGATATAAAGAAGTATAAATGCACCAAAATATAGAAAAGTTATTTTCAGAGATTAAAGAAAAATATTTTCAGAACTTAAAGACATCTCTAAACTCAAAGAGGCCATTTTTCTAAGGAATGAAACATCCATTTTTAAGACTTATATATTTCTTTTACCAAGTCTCTGCATTCAAAGTCTCCATTACCAGGTATAGGCTTAGAGCAGAACAAGTTAACTCTATAACAACACTTCTGTCAAGTTATGTGAAGCAGGGACACTGATGCCAGCTATCTGACAGCTCAGATGGCTTTTGAGAAAAAGATAATCAACTATAAAATATAATCTTTATGCAAGATTAAACTAAGTAAGTTGTCAAATTTTGTTAACTTTCAGCTTGTAATGAACCCATCTGTATCAAAGGCAGTTTCAGAGACAGACGTAAAAAGCATCATTCTTACTGTGCTAGTTTCAGGTTGAAAAACAGCCAAGGTAAAATCAAGATTGAAAAACTGAAGAAATTCGGCAACGAGACTCGCCACCAGCCGGCCTGCAAAGAGCAAAAGAGAAGGTGGGAGAGGGTCTTTAGGAGCCCGAGGCCTCCTCACTGACACAGAAGTAAGATAACTACAGTAAAGGGAGAAAAGAAGTTTCTCAATGTTTCAAAGTGCAAATTTCTTCTCTTGAATAATACAATGAAGTGATGAACATCTCAGTTCCGCCATTTCTGCATTAGGACCATTGGTCTGGAACTATCAGTAACACAATGTGACATTTCATAAATGGATGAGTGTTTTGCTTTTCACAGGAAAATCAGCTTTTTACAATAAAATTGGCTGTAACCAACAATTTCCCATGACCACTGATATTTAATGGCAACTCAGTTGTACAATAATATACAATTTAAAATGAGCACCTAGAAGAATCAGATACTTCAAAAACTAATCTGAAATTCCTCATTTCTCCCAAATGGAGTCAAGATTTGAAAATTCAGAGACAGACAAAATAAACAACAACAAACATCTTACCATCTTTCGTATTTAAAAACTTTTTCAGGCTCTCATTGACTAAAGGAGTTTTGTTCTGTTAAAAAATGAAATATTTTAAGTGTTATACATTTATCCCCAAACGACTACAAAATGTAGACTAAAGTTTAATTTTTTGGCAAAGATATTAAGTTAAATACTGTCACTCACAAAATGATGGCTAAACCCATTCTATAACTACTGATTACTACAGGAACTACTTTTTGCCAAGGTAAGGACTGAGACAGGTAAGGACTGAGATATACTCAACTAGGAGATTCTTCTTGACAGCAACAAAAGAAATTACTTAGGTGTAGTAGTGATGGATTTAAGATGTTAATGAATTAGAGGGTGCCTGGAGCACAAGGAACGGTATAAGACAGACACAGTCTTTCAAAACTGAGGGAAAAAGTTGCAGAGGTATTAAAAAGCAGAACATGAGTCCAGGGAATCAGCTTTCTCCTTGACAGAGATGTAAACATGTTTCCATGCTCAACAGAAGAGCCAGCAGAAAGGGAGAGGCCAAAGATTAACAGCGTATAGAAGAGGCACTGACCTAACACCTAGAGGTAAAACCCAGAGAAAGTGATTATTCTTGGACAAGATAGAGTCGCCTCTACTAAAGCAGGAAGGAACGAGAAACAGAGGAACACAGATGCGGGGGAGCTTTTTCTGAGATGAGTGACAGATTGTGGGGGAGGACACAAAAAGTTAGGATCTGATGCTTCTATTATTTAGTGAAGGGAGAGACAAGACCGTCCGTCAACAGTGAAGGAATCAGGTGATGTAGGACGCTAACGTGAAGGCGAAGTGGGAGTTGCTGAGCAGAGACGAGAATCAGGGTCAGCAGCTCACGGCCTCAGAGGCTGGAACCGCCAACCAGGAACATGAGCAGTCCAGCGCGGGGACCGCTCGAGCGCAGACGGACACAAACGGGGAGGGGCGTTAATCGGCTCAACTAAATGACCCTTAAGATTTTTCCCCAAATCAAGTATGGCTGGAAGGCAAGGTAGTGAGGATTTTTTTTTTTTTTTTTGGTACGCGGGCCTCTCACTGTTGGGGCCTCTCCCGTTGCGGAGCACAGGCTCCGGACGCGCAGGCTCAGCGGCCATGGCTCACGGGCTCAGCCGCTCCGCGGCACGTGGGACCTTCCTGGACCAGGGCACGAACCGGTGTCCCCTGCATCGGCAGGCGGACTCTCAACCACTGCGCCACCAGGGAGGCCCGAGGTAGTGAGGATTTTTGAGATATGGACCATGGGGTCCAGACCAGCTAAGAACAAGAGGCAGCTAAGAGAAGACATGTCTGGAAAAACACAGAAGTGAAGACCTTCATGAAGTGACAGAGGAGCAAGGCATCTAGGTCTAAAGTGAGAAGGAGAAGAGGCTGATTTGTCACAGAGGAAGCTGAAGGCCTCGATTATGGAGTAACGCTTGCTGACGGCAGGTTCCAGGATATTTACTCAAGATGGTGGCAGGACGTGCCGTAGAGAGAAAAAACTAAATACACTTATACAGAGAGAAGTGACAGGACCTTTGACATACGAAAGACTACATGATTTTAAAATAACTGAGTGGGGCTTCCCTGGTGGCGCAGTGGTTGAGAGTCCGCCCGCCGATGCAGGGGACATGGGTTCGTGCCCCGGTCCGAGAAGATCCCACATGCCGCGGAGCGGCTGGGCCCGTGAGCCATGGCCGCTGAGCCTGCGCGTCCGGAGCCTGTGCTCCGCAACGGGAGAGGCCACAACAGTGAGAGGCCCGCATACCGCAAACATACATACATACATACATACATAAATGAAATAAAATAACTGGGTGACCGGATAACTTGGAGAAAAGCTGCATACGATATTCCTCCCACCTGGTGGGGATTCACAGTGCATATTAGCATATTAAAGGTTCTAAGGGGTCCCGCAGTAAACCCACTTACTGTGAAACCGTTTCTTCAGGTGTTCTGGATTTCCCCTAGGGAAAGAGATCTATGAGATTTACTATTGGCCTCGGAGTTGTGGTGCCTTAACTTTCTTTAGATTACTCCAAACCTCTAAAATATACACGAAAAGAGAATAATCTTGACCCTCTCCCAACAGTAAAGAAGTTTAATCCTTAGTTCAAAATTGTCCCTGGCTACACACTCCTCTAAACACTGTTTTAGAGTGGCTTTTAAGTAATTAGAAATTAAACATAAACGAATACAGTCATTAAACTTTGTAGATTTCGTACCTCTACTTTTTCTTGCTCCTCTAGCGCTAAAAACACAGCTGCTCGGAGTTCAGCCTTGAAAAAAAGCGGGGGGCAGGGGTAAAGGAACAAAAATGATCTCAGGACATTTTCAGGACAAGAAGCTCACCAGCTGAAATTTCAAAAGGCAAAGGGAAAACTAGCAAGATGATAACGCTCAGCAGGCAGGTGCAAAGAGAGACCAGAAGGCGTCCCGAGACGTCCTGACGAAGGGGCGCAAGCTCTCTGTGCCCCGTGCCCACCGTCTGTCCCCCGGCACTGTCAGCACCCATCACTCTGGCTGCGATCCTGATTTCCGGTCCTTCATGACGCCCATCGGTCGCGTCAAGGTTGCAAAGTACACTCCGAGAAGCAGCCCGCCACCCGCTCGTCACCGCCAGCGGGAGGGGCTCGCTGCGCAGCAGTAGAGGCCAGGGGCGGGGGAGACCCAGGGGCGGGGGACACCCAGGGGCGGGGAGCAACTCGACCACCGGGCCTGGAACGGGACCAGAGTGGGTAGCGGGCGACTCGACCACCGGACGCCGCGGTCGGCCTCCTCCGACGAAGGCTGGCCGGGCCCCCCCCCACCCGCTCGCCGCCGCGCGGCCCGGAAGCTCCCCGGGAGAGACCCTCGACCCGAGCGCGGACCGCCCCGAGGTGGCCCGCGAGCTCGGACCTCAGCCCAGGCGGCCCGCCGGATGCGTCCCTTGCCCCTTTGTGACGCCCGCGGCCGGCCTCCCCTCCGCCGGCCCCCCGGCCTCCCGCCCAACCTTGATGCGGTTCAGGACCCCGCTGTTCTCCAGCGTCTGCACCAGCAGGTCCCGCAGCTCCGTGTCCTCCTCCGCCACCACCGCGGCCGCCGTCGCCGCCATCTTGCTTCTCCAAGACAACCGCCCAAGCCGCCCCGACTGCCGACGGTTGCCGCAGCCCGCACGGCGCGCGGCAACGCGGGTCAGCCCACGCTCCCGGCGCCGGCGCGCAGCCAGCCGTCACGTCGGGGCGGGGCCTCGAGCGGGGGCGGAGCCTCGGGCGTGGGGCGGGGCCTCGGGCGTCTCCGGAGGCGGGCGCTTTGGGGGCGGTGGGCGAAGCGGAGGAGGTTAGGGTGGCCGGTAAAAGCCAAAGCTGACACCAAGTCACCTCAGTGCTGACAGCTGGAGGCTGACCCGGGTGCAGAAAAGGTTCAGCTGAAAGGCATATGCGAGCTGCCTACAGACCTGCTGTACCCCTAATATCGTGAATGCTGCTGAGTGTTTTCAGTTAATTATGGGCAAAGTTTGAAAGATGTAATCATAATTGCAGAGGCGAATGCAAATTCTTGACAGTATAAAAGTAGAACTCAGACTTGTAACGTTGGTGGGGGGGGGGTGAGAGAGAGTAAATATACTAATTTCCTCATCTCCCTTTGCAGGGAGCCAATAGGGAATATGTAAGTTTATAAAAAATGACTTAGGTAAATAAAGTCACAAAATCTTCCACCATTAGAACTAAAAGTAATGTAAGTTTTAAAATTAGGAGCTGAAAGAGAAGATAAAATTTTATCCTTTGAAAATATGCTATTTACGGTTGATGGGTCAGGATGTATATTATTTAGAGTTATAATGAAAAGAACTAGAAGAATTAAAAACAACCTTAACTGTAGCTGAGTCTAGGGTATGGTACCAGGTGGTGCGTAGGGGAACAGGGAGGACTCAGACCTTTCAGTATTTTCCCCTTGTGTTTGTAACCACTGATATGAGTAACCTCCACAGCAACAAAACAAATGCAAATGGACCATAGTCTAGTTACAAAGCCTAACTGTGAAACATCCTTACACAGAATGCAGGAGTTAAAGAGAATGAGGCAGAATAGAGAGAGAGAGAGAGAGAGAGAGAGAGAGAGGGAGGGAGAGAGAGAGAGAGAGGGAGATGATTAGGAATTATGAAGTGAAACTAGTAAATTAAAAGACAGTAAGTGGGGCCTCCCTGGTGGCGCAGTGGTTGAGAGTCCGCCTGCCGGTGCAGCGGACACTGGTTCGTGCCCCGGTCCGGGAGGATGCCACATGCCGCGGGAGCGGCTGGGCCCATGAGCTATGGCCGCTGAGCCTGCGCGTGCGGAGCCTGTGCTCCGCAAGGGGAGAGGCCACAACAGTGAGAGGCCCGCGTACCGCAAAAAAAAAAAAAAAACACGGTAAGCAAAGGATCCAAATTAGGGAAGTAGAAAAATTACTTGTGTGTTTGTAACATGTCTATGAAAAGAAGCTGTCTGCCTGCAGGCAATGAGTGGGTAAGGAGCGCTAGCCCCTCGCCCCTGGGGTCAGGAGGCACATCTAAGTTGTGTCCACTAGCTTCCAGTGTTTCGGGTTTGAGCTCTAGTTAAACAGAAACGTGCTTGAAAACACAGCCTTTATTAGTTCCTTCCCTGCCTGGTCCCCTTTCCCTACTTCCCCACTGGTGCTTCCTGGCATCCTGTCCCAAATAAACTGCACCCGAAGCCTTATCTTAGGCTCTGCTTCTGGGGCACTCAAACCAAGACAGTCACCCCAGATCGGGTCATGTGAAGCAGACCTGGGAAGGGGGTTCTGGAATCGGGGTACTCACCAGCCGAATGGCCACGAGGACCCACCCTTGGTAGTAAGCGGGGTGGCCATACCCCCCGGGGTGGTGTCACAGCTCTGCAGTTGTGACTAAGCGGGAGGGGATGCACGTGGGGCGGGGGGCTCTGACTTGTGCGATCTCTCCAGCATTTGTGGAAATGGGGGCAATGGTAAATTTTAAAGACTGTAGAGTCAGGTTTTTTTTCTTAATGATAGAAAAATGTTGAAGGAAGAATATGACAAAAAAAAAAAAAAAAAAAAGAATATGACAGCCAACTATCAACCCAAGGCGTGTTCCCATGATATCACATTGGTAGCTTGAAACCCACTATGGTAGGAAACACTAAGGAAACGGACAAATACTGTAAATGAGGGCTTTAAAAAAAGAAGAAACAGAGAGCCAGGTGTTAAACGTTTACTAGCACATCTGCCTTCGCTGGGTTTCCTGGGTCTGAGGATTTGTACCGTTTGTTACTTCTCAAGGCCTCTTGGCCTTTCTCAGCCTCGGTTTCCTCAGCTGTCAAGTATTAACCTACCTCATAGAGTTTTGTAATTTAAAATAACATAAATGTGGATCTGATTTGCTGCTGATGGGGGTGAGGGGAGATGGACGCGGGCAGAGGGAACTTGTGGGCAGTGAGTAGGCCACGGTGCACTTGATCTTTATTTGCCTTTTTGTAGGTCTGCAACTAGAGTTCCTCTTTCAGCTAAGCTACGGTTCTCCATTTCGATTCTTTTAGCAGCTTTGTAAGATAACTTTCAAAGTCAGTAGGGTATTATTTCAATTACTACTCTATCATAAAAGTTAGTATAACTCCTCACTCCCAGGGAGTCGTTTATACAACGGGGGAATTTGCCTTAAAACGCATGCGTTTTTCCTATCATAAAGTCAACAAAGTAGAAGCTCTGTGCAAAAGCATTCACTTCCTTGAGCACTTTAAGGCCAAAGATGTCACTATTTATCCTTTGTAAACATGGGATTTTTAATACTACTGCTTAAAGTTTATTTTACTAACTGAAGGAAACATACCATTAAATTTTTAAAATGTCCCAAATAAGCCTTAAATTAAGGAAGAAGAAATGGGAAATGCATTATTGTTTGAGTTGGGAGGTAAGAGAGCTATTCATTTATTAATTTCCATATCTCACCCAAACTGATGGATTAAAAGTTTAAAAAAATACTTACAATGAAATGACAGAAAAGATCCCCTTAGATGTGGTACCAGTTTATGTGCTCACATTCCGCTTGTTCTTGTATTTTCTAATTTAGCCTCCGTGTTTTATTTAAGAGAAACAGCACACAGTTGATGATTTGACATTATTGAACTCACCTCCTTATGGGAGTTATTCAGTGTATCACTCTGTCACAGCTTTGTGGAGAAATAATTCATACGTCGTACATTCGTCCATTTAAAGTGTACAAGTCAATGATTTTCATACATCTGCAGAGTTGTGCAACATCACCGCATTCTAATTTTCATCCATGTTGTGGCATTGACTCTGTACTTCATTTCGTATTACTATTAATAAGGGGTAATATTGCATTGTATGGTTATAACATTTTATTTATCTACTCATCAGTCAGTGGACATTTGGATTGCTTCCTAGTTTGGGCTATTATGAAAAACACTGCTGTGAACACTCACGTACAACTTTTTGTGTGAACATATATTTTTCAATGTATTTCTGATTGACACCTAAAAATAGACAATTTGCTTTAAAAAAAAAAAAGAAGAAGAAGGGCCTGGACTCATGCTGCAATGCTGCGGAAGTGAGGGTACAGAGAAGATGGACTGAAGAGATGTGACTATGTTACAGAAACAAACTCTTTTACTAGATTCTGATAATAAGTTCAGGAGGCTGGAGCAGGGGAAATGCCTTCTGACTTCCTACTTGCATATTCTTGGCATAGAAAGTCCCTGTTTCTTTAATATCAAGAAATTGAAAATGCATATTGACTCATGGGGCTATAGTCCCTCCATCTGCACTCAGGAGTATTAATGCTTTCTCTCTTGAGGTCAGCCGTCCTGTGCTTGAGAGGTCAGGATGGTTTAGACAGAGGTGAAGAATGAACAAAGTGCTTCATGACCTATGAGTTCTCATAAATGCTTCATAGATTGTGCGAACGACACTAACACGCTGGAAAAGAGAAGTCTGTACTTCCCCTGTTGGCATATTCATCATACATTTCTGAAATTACTTAGTTCATTATTTCAACGAAGATTTTTTGATAACGGGTTTTGTGTCGTGGTTAAAAGTATGGAGTTTTGGGGCTTCCCTAGTGGCGCAGTGGTTGAGAGTCCGCCTGCCGATGCAGGGGACAAGGGTTCGTGCCCCGGTCCGGGAAGATCCCACATGCAGCAGAGCCCGTGAGCCATGGCCGCTGAGCCTGCGCGTCCGGAGCCTGTGCTCCGCAACGGGAAAGGCCACGACAGTGAGAGACCTGCGTACCGCAAAAAAAAAGAAAAAAAGTATGGACTTTTGAGCCATGTTGCTTGAGTTCAGATCCTCTTACTGGTTGTGTTGACTGTAGCAAGTTCCTTAATCTCTCTGTGCCTTGGTTTCCGATTTGTAAACGGGGTAAAATTCTCCGTGTGTGGGAATATGTATAGTTAGAAAGATTGCTAGATAGTATTGAATGTCTAAAACAGAGAGCACGATAAGAATATTAACTATTATGAGTTGGTTTTATAGACAGCCTCATCGCATTTTTTCCATGATACTCTGAGCTAATTTTTGTGTTTTCTAAGCTCTGTTTTATGGATGAGACAACTAATGCTCAGAGAAGTTAGGCAGCTTACCCACAGTCACACAGCAGCTAAGATGAACCATCCAAGTCTACTTGGTTCTCAAAATAGTTTATGGAAATACTCCTCCCAATGTTTAGATAATGTAACTTGATTAAATCAAATGGAATTAAAGAAATAGAAAAAAATGATTGGTTGAAGACATGGACTGCAGGCGATAGGAAAGGGGAGTCTACCTTCTCAAAGATGCATTCAGAGCCACCGGGGGCAGCGTGCACCAGGACAACTGGCAAGGATCACCTTTCTCACTAATTTTCATTAACTGCTCTAAGATATGATAGCTAATGCTGTCAGATAATAGATTCACCACTTAGCTAATGCCTTTAAATTAGATGTTCTTCAATGCCAAGGACAATATGAAAGTGGTTTTCTTCTACTGCACGACTTCTCTCAGGTTTTATTTATTTATTTAGCTTTACAATGTTTAGCCCTCTTTATGAATTTAATTATCTTGTTGCTAAGTACACGTCTAAGCATAAGTGGCTGGTACAAGAAGCCATCTCTATGGTACCATATCAGTGTATGGTACATTCAAACCT